TGAGTAAATCAAATAAAAATATGAATACTAATAAATAATATCTGTATTATTTTTAAGGCCACACCACAAACTGTAGTTCAACAGCCAGTTGACCATTTTATGTTTAGAAAAGCGACCTGACGATTGAAGTCAGCAATGCAAAATGTTTTAATTATACTGATCCCAGAGAAGATATCGTCCTTGTTTTACAATTCCATTCATACCTGTGTGGCATACACACTTCCTGTTGGCCAGCTATGTCTCTTACATAAACATAAACCTATATTAGGAACTCTAAATATTTTTCATTCAAGCCCTGGAATTTCTTACAAAGGAGAGTAACTATTGGCAGGTTCAGGATGTAGGCCATTTAGCAGGATGCATGAAGGACATGGCTTGGGCGTCTGGGCCTAATAATGCCTTTCGCCCATTAGAACCCAACAGAGGGCAGCTGGTAGCGTGCCCAGCAATAAGAGGGTAAAAGATTAGAGAAGGTAACAATCCACAGGCTCAGGATGAGGGACATTTAGCAAGATGCATGAGGGACGTGACTTGAGTGACTAGATGTAAAAATGACACTGACCCAGCAGGGAGCAGCTGGCAGCTTCCCATCCATACAGGGGGTGGACATTTTAGAAGGGTAACTATTGGTAAGTTCAGGGTGTGGGGCATTTAGCAGGATGCGTGAGGGACATGGCTGCGGTGTCTGGATAAAACAAAGCCACTTGCCCATTATTAGAAAAACCCAACAGAGAGCATCTGGCAGCTTCCCAGCCATCATAGGGGGAATCATCAAGGGGGGTAGCAATTCACAGACTCAGGATGTGGGACATTTAGCAGGATGCATGAGAGACATGGTTGGAAATGGCAGTTGGCCCATCATTAGAATCCAGCAGGGAGAGGCTGGCAGCTTCCCAGCCATACAGGGGGTGGGGAATTTAGAACTGTTGATAACTATTGGTGATTCAGGATGTGGGACATTTAGCAGGATGCATAAGGGATATGGCTGGGGTGCCTGGATCTAAAATTGCCCCTTGCCCATCATCAGAACCTAGCACACAGCAGCTGCCAGCTTCCCAGCCATTCAGAGGTGGAAACTTAAGGAGCATAACAATTCACAAACTCAGGATGTTGTGCATTTAGCAGTATTCATGAGTGATGTGGCTTAGGTGCCTGGACCTAAAAATGGCACTTAGCTATAATTAGAACACAGAAGGGTTCAGCTATACTGTACAGGGCTAGAAGGGTAACAAGTCACAGGTTGAAGATGTGGGTATTTAGCAGGATGCATATAGCTGAGGTACCTGTTAATAAAAATTCCTTTGGTAAGAATGTTTTATTCTGTTAGCATGGAGGAGACTGCTTTCATTACATGTAGCATTGTTTGGGAACAAGCTTGTATTCATAATACATGCAGTTGGCTTTGCGAAGCAGTATCAGTTTTCAGTGGAGTTGAATGTGTCTGGTATGTTATCTAATGATATGCACTTAGCCACGTGACTTGCACAGCAGTCACAGTGTAGGCAGCTTTTACGGCAGCCTCCCCCTCACCATCCATAGCACAAGCACACAGAAGACAGATCCACATCCTTCTATTTGTCAGTATAGTCTCCTCAGGTAAGAGCCTTTTTGTTTATTTTGTTAGATATGGGCGCAGTGTGATGAATAAGGGTGCAAAGTGTGTATGGTGGTAGTACTCCTATGCGATACATCGTAGGTGTGATCTGTGACATGCAAAAG